CTTTATGGAGATAACTTGGAATTCTACCCAGGGAGTGGTTTGCCTACAGAATGTTTTGGTCTAGGGTGTAAACGTGACTTGTTTTGTTCTAGCAACAGAACTTATTTAACTATAAATTTTATTAACTATGGCCGGGCGGTGGTGGCACACGCCTTTAATCCCAGCACTTGGGAGGCAGAGGCAGGTGGATCTCTGTGAGTTCGAGACCAGCCTGGTAAAAAAAAAATAATTAACTATGAATGTAGCCCGCGACTTTCAGTTGGTCTGTTCATTTCCTTGTATCATGTTAATGCAGGCTTTTGTCTTTTGGGATCAGGGGTATTTTAAGCAGTTGGAAATTAAACGCAGGTGAACTGGAATTCCCTCCCGATACTATCCTATATGTTTCTCCAATATTATTATTTTCATTTACATCTTTATATTATTTACTATATTTCTAAATTTCCACGCCTCTAACCTGGCAAGAGGTATTTTTGTCGAGGCTGGTCCCCGACAGATGGAGAAGTAGTGTTTGGATAGTCTTTGAAAAACTCTAAAAACAGTTACAAGTCCACTTCTTAAAATCTTTATTGTTCGGTACTCTTTTGATGTAAAAGCTGACAATTCTGCACCCAGGCACTCCAGTATTCATTATTTTGATATTTAAAAGAATAAGAAGCAATTTCCCAAACAGCCATAGTAGTCTCAGGTCGGATAGAAAGCTCAGACTGGAAGGGAGTGTTTGAATACATTCTGGTACATATTCAGGTCCCTGTGGCTATGGCCACCATAACTGCATACTCTTTAGAGTAATTTCTCCTTAGGTAGGCCTTTTGGTTTTACAGAGTGCTGAGGTGACTTCTGCCGGGGAGCAGAAGTGTCTATGGGGCGTTCCTTTCCAGTTGACAACAGTTCCTTATTAACAGCATCGGTCATGTGTCCTAAATATAGTACCAGTCCTTAACTTTTCTCTGAGAATTTTGCACAAGCAGAGGTATCACTCTTCTTGGGCAATGGAGGTAAAATACAACTATTTTGTTTGTCTCTTAGCTCCATGAGAGTTAAACAAATGTGTAACCAGTGGTACAGGAGTTCAATGACAAGATTGCCAAATTTCCATACTTCGATTCGAGAATGACCTGCATCAAGAAAGGAAAAGTTAGTATAGGTAATATTGTACTTTAATTATTATGAAATAAATTAAAATATGATTTGAATTTATGAACTATGTTGTGAATCAAAATCATAATAGCATCTCATTTATATATTTAATTATAAGAGAGATGGGATTTAATATTTTCATTTAATGGAATAATACATAGAAGTGAACAGTGAAAGAATTTATATATATAAATTATAATTATATATATATGAATTTTATATATGTATATACACACATAT